ACAGGAATTGGCAAAGTTTTGTAATAGCTGCCAAGAAGACTGGGATGTTTTACTTACTCCCTCCACTGTTGATGGCCTACAGAACAACAGAGCATGAAGCCACTGGATACAATCCAGCAAAGCTGATGTTTGGTCGGAAATGCTGGTTGCCAGTGGATCTGACAACAGGATACCCACCTCACGAGGAGTTGCCTGAAAATGTACCAGAGTTAGTGAAAGTATTATCTGAATGGATGGATGGTATTCATCATCAAGTGCATTCAAACTTAAAAACTTCTGATGATTCCATGAAGCTATTTTATGATAAGAAATATACTGAAGTCAGTTTTGTACCAGGAGACAAGGTGTGGTTGTATAATCACAGAAAGACCAAAGGGAAGTCTCCTAAGTTATATTCTCCATGGGAATGCCCATATGACATAGTGGATCGTGACTTTTTGAATCAAATGTGGTCGGCGAGTTAAGCCAAAGGTGGTGCATGCCCACAGGCTTTCACATTATCACGGTCCAGGTCATTTCAGTTGGAATGAAGTGAACAATGGAACAAATGACACTGCTGAAGACGTGTCACCTGAAAAAGCCACTGTTGAAGAAGAAACTCTACCCGGTTTGAGAAAGAAAACAGTGAAACAGTTAATGAAGTTACTACCACTGATGTGACTGCTACCGATAATGGGACATTTTCTGATGGAGCAGAAGTCAGTGAGACGGAGACAAGTACAAAAGAAGAAATGTCCTGTAAAATTAAGGGACTTTATTGTATTTTAATTTTGTGTTTGTAAATTCTGTACATTTAATAAAGTTATTGTTAATTATCTATTGGTTTAATGTAAGTGGCTATTGTTTGGGACGAACAATACTAAGGAAGGGGCAGTGTTACAACAGTGGAAGTCATGTGACACTGCTGGCGCATTTGGCACTGATAGTGTGCATGAAATTTCTCGAATGATCGGGGAGGCCCGAGTGTATTCCAGATGCCCCCTTCGTTAGTATATAAGCCTGGTTAATTAAAGAAGTGAACAATAGTGACGATAAATAACATGTGTGAATCATTGTGATTTATAACGTGAATTATAAAGTTGTTAAGTTTAAAGTGACGAGAAACGTAGTGACTGTGGAATTACAGTGTACGAAAGTTTGTATCGAGATAGAATAAACTGGTTTAATCAAGAAAGGGCTTGTATCGCTTAAGTTCTTCGGAAAGAATTTCTACCGGAAATTAACAAACAAGCAGATACGTAACAGTACTTTACCACAATATTCATACAGGTGATAGCATAACAGATAATGAAGTACATTCTTTAATTTCTTTAAGTGTACAGCTGGTTGTTTGGCTTGAAATTCAAATCTCACCAAACATTATGTTATCACTTTATTTTTATCCATTGGTAGCATATGTACACACACACACTGAGTCAGTAGTCTACTTACTGTCAATATCTCAGGAATAGAAAGATATAGGAAAATAATTATTAAATGTCCTTTGAAAATGTTATTAATATGCACAATACAAATGTCAAAGGTGTATATAAAGAAAATAACAAATAAAACAATTTTACAACTAAAATTACTAAAACTAATCCTCAAAAACAACACTGACAGGCATAAACAACACTCCTTACATGCATCACAGAAGCAAAAGTTGTTATACAAACCTGCATTTGAGGTATAAGATTAGAATTCTGCATGCACAGCTCCCTGCTTCTTCGAAGGTGCTAAAAGGTTAACACATATTAAAATAATAGATAAAGTAGCACACAAGCACTGTGCTGCATCTGCTTCTAAATCCTCTAAATACTGACACAGTACTTGGTTGAAAACAGTTTAACATGGCTGTACTGTATGGAGAATGTACAGGTGCTGCTACCATATTGTATGCCAAACACTTCCAAGACAAACTCTGCCACATCACATAATAGGAAATGTGTCCGTGTACTACAGGCTCATTTACACTTAGACACCATGTGGATAGACCATGAACAGCAGTCAGTATTGACAGTGAAGCAATCATATTTGCATTTGGTTAGAATTCTGAATACAACTATGGAATTTTTGCCACCATTTCATACTAGTGTTAGGATGTTTACCTCATCTTCATTGATAACTGTAACTGTTAATGTTAAGGAGAAATTTTTGGTTTAAAGGTATTTTATATGTTATTGTTGAAACCTCTTCAGTTGACATTTTAGCATATGATACATACTATTAAAATTTTCAAGGATATGACCTTGAACCAATAATACTGCCACTGGATAGATTCAAAACACCTCATTCCATTCCACTAAGTTATAGGAAAATAACAGTTACTGGTATTTCCAAATTACTTACCTGTCAATAAATTTCTGAATTACTGGGTTTATGTAAATGTTTGATAAAGACAGGGACAAATGAATAAATTAGCTGATCAAGCATGAAATCTGTATTCAAATCCTATTACGAGCGTGACTGTTGTTTTTATTTTTTGAAATAATTTTCAGTGACATGTATATTTGCTATTAATATTAGAATGGGCATGACTTTTCCTAATCTTAATGAAAATCAGAGTACTTTTTTCATAGCATTTTAATACATAAGAGTGTAAAGTGTTCATGATAAAGATAAATGTTGGTTTTATGAGCAAATATAGTTCATGACATTTTGTTACTTGTCAGGAGTGAAAACTTTCTTCAAATATTTTGTATAAAGGTAACCAAGAAGTTGTTTATTGAACAAATAACAGAAAATAAAACAGTTAGGAAGACCAAAACCTTAACAAAATAGATATATTTTAGCTCTACCAACTGTCTAGTAGTGTTAACGTAGTTCTTTATATGGATGAAACCATATCTACTAGAATTTGGTTTTGTAGCATGGTGACTGATATATATTTTTTTCTCTTTTTTTTTAGTAAAATAAAAATAATTTCTCCCCAGTTTTATATTAATCTGTTTTTCGTTTACTAACAAAACTCGCTTATTTACAGCAAAAATACATTATTACTTCATAAACTTGTTGCCTATAAAGTGGAACTTAAATAATTATTTTCTGTTGGTTTCCTTCTTCTAAAGGACTCCATTTCATCAACTAGTGACATTCCATGGAAACTTGTGGGGGTACCCCCCATAGCCTGCAATAAATCCTCTTAACTTACAATGTCACTGTGTGAGTAATTTGGCAATTTCTTTTGAACCATAAGCAAGGTATAGTGGTTTACTACTGTTGGAACTATATATAGTCTAATATAACAAGCAGAGGAAATGAATTGTATCTGATATTTTTTTATTACTTTATCATAGCAACAATTTAACCATGATTGCCACAGTTCTATTTTAGTGTAGTTCATAACAGTGTATTATTTTTGTTTTAAGTTTTAATGTTTTTGAGTAATCAGAACAACCCTTTTTTCGTTTTAATGAATCAAGAAGTTTTAGTAGCAAATGTGTGTAATTTTACTCTTTTATACTTCATTTTTTGTCCTGTTTCTTCTTCTTGGTCCTACAAATTTACAATCCAAATCTAATTAACAATGTAACACTTCTACTTTTTTTGATTTGCCAAAACCCTTTGCTTATTATTTTTTGCAAAAAAAGAAACCTAAATGATTAATATTTAAAAGTAAATATTATGTAGATTGAGGGAGAAAACCAAATATTGAATGAAAGCTTTAATTATTTTCTTTATTCATTCAAATATATCAGACTCCATTAACATATTACAATGAAAAACTTAAAAACTTCTTTCTCAAATACATAATTTGAAAGACAAGGAACTGGTGTTATGTCCTGGGTAAAGGTGGGCACCACTTGTTTCCATGGCGATCAGGAGCTTTAATGTGAGGGATATCCCAGATCCAGATTTCATCTAGAATAAAACAGTAAAATATTTCTTAAATAATATAACACTCAACAAAAAACACATCAGTTGATCTGTTCATTACAAATAATATAGTTTCTTGTCATTAGTTCAATTTTGGTATAACAGCAGACTGTTGTATTACAGAAGCAGCAGAAACTGATTTATGTTGGAATTTAAGTGATGAAAGATTGCCTAAGAAGAATATATCAACACAAGCATATTAAAATGTCAAGACTAAAATATTACATCCACCCATACTGACAGGGTTAAAACAAATACACTGTAATGACAGGGTAACCTGCATGAGTGTGTAGGAAACTTGAACTTATGTATGCTGATAGAGAAATGACAACTCACCTTTGTTAGAGTATGGGATGAGAGGGATATCATATGGAACAGGAAATGAAATAGTTTCCATGTTAGCTTTTCTTTCTTTTACCTCTGGAACCCCAAAAACTTTCCTAGATACCTGTAATATAAGAATTATTAAATAATCAATGAGAAAGAGTAGAAGTAAAGTTAAAGTAATTGAATTTCTTACAAGGAGTTAAAAGCTTGCATGAAACTATATTTCTCAATAAACATTTACCTTGTTTTAATAGACTCCCAACTAAACATTACCTTTTAAGCATTTTCAGACAATATTTAAGAATAATAATACTGCTACTGCCAATAATTCATATTTATATAATTAAATTTGTCATAAGCTCTGATCTACAGTTTGTGGTATTTGATCAAAAACTATCTAATAGTTTATCCATCAGAAAAAAAACTGAAAACCTAAAAGCTTCAAATGTGTGATTCAAGAGCCTACGGGAAAAATAAAATTGAAATCTGTAGATTAACGAGTACAAAAGACTGGATAAAAATAAAAACTGTGATGATGTCTGTAATCTACAGTTCTTGAATAAAGATAAAACTAGAGAAAGACAAATTCTGTGATCTAGACTCTACAGTTCCTAGATTACATGGGCAAATACATATTTGCTAATTGATTAATATATGTCCCCCCCCCAAATAAGGTAAAACAAAAAAGATGGGTATGTGCATTTTCTTTCATAACTTTCACAACCACAGCATTATTCATATATTGTATGAATCTCCCTATTGTCATCTATTTTCTTTTTACGTAACTTTCAATTTACCTTTAGTTTCATATCATATACATCTTCTGAAGGTTTCCATTTGCACATTTTGCAAGAAACATATTTTTTGTCTGAAAGAACATCTTGCCACAAATTTTTTAAAATGATAATCTTGCAATTTCCTACTTCACGAATCAACTGTTAATGTTAATTGTACCAGATTAAAAACCATCATGTGTTCACCATTATGTTTTCAAAATATGCAGTAACCCCATACTTCTGTAGAACAAATAAATGGATAATTAAATAATGAAAACACTTTACTATCACTGATAAGGGGAAAAATGTTTTTACCTAAAGTTATAAGTTTCTTATATGAAAATGTATTTCTGATAGGTACCTCCCTTTTTCAGAAACGCATGCCACAAGCCTTCATCATCCATCTGTTGGAATCCAAAGTTCCAACATATCTCTCATGCAAATCATCATGTGTCTCCTCTCCACCAATAGGAGAGCACTACTATGTGACTCCCTCTATGTGCCACTACCAAACTATCACTTTAACGTTTGGCAGAAGATGTGAGCACCGGACAATTGTGAGGAGGATGGGTGGGAAGTGTGAACAGAGAGAGAAGTACCTATCAGAAATACATTTTCATTTAGAAAAATTATAACTTCCGATAAGGTACTCTCCCTATGCTCACTAGATTAGCTTGAATCCCACATTGAAATGGAGGAGAAACCAATGTGAGGGAATCACAAGCATATCCCCGGAAACGTCTGGAGGACACCTCTGATATGAGAGGAACAGATCAGATGATCTGAGGAGCAGCATCGCACAACAACTGAGCCAAGTATCTCTTCACCAGAAACAAAGACATAATCAGAAGGACCAGACATGGCAGAACATGAAGAGAGCACATTCCCATGGGATAGGATAGTTCAGCAATGTGATCTTAAACAAAGATTAGAATCACTCAATCCCACGATGGAAAGTGGGCAAGTGAAGATGTGTCCCATGGTGTAGAATGGCTAGGGTGCAACAAACTGCACTCAGTAAGTCAACTACATCTAAAACCTCACTCCTGGGTACCAACATCCTTGCAAGCGTAGGATGAGAATCATACCATCTTCCCCTCAAGTCCCAGTGTCAAGAGGAGACCTAACATTCGACCTCACGAAATCACAGGGTAGGCTTGTGCCAGGGATCTGGGAATGTGTCATCCGGAATCTGAGGTTAGTCCACTGCATGCACTTAACCCCTGCAACTGTGAAACCAGCCCAAAATGACCCCAATTTGGTAATAACCTCTTCACTCAATGAGGGAAAATCCAAGACAGAAGTGGAAACAAGCCATGTAGACCTTCTGCAACTCACAAAACAGAAGATGGACAATCCAAAACCTGTGTGAGGACTTATGTGATTGCTTCACTTAATTTCCAAAACCACACTCGCTGGGTACCAACATCAACACAAGGGTAGGAGGATGGCACCCAACCAGAGGGGTGAACTGCATTTGGGTGTCTCAATTCCAGGAATTAGTTACGGATTCAGAAGATCTTATAACTCTCTCTACATCGACAAAACACCACTGCCCTACTCTGAACAGAATGTTTATAGCCATCTTCGTGGAACCCATCCAACAGGTTGCTTCCATGGTCAACCACCCTAGCAGCTTCGAACTGGTAAGTGATAAGGAATCCTGTACTCCACTGGAAGAAAGGGGGGGAAAGTGTGGTGGAGAGTCTGTAACACCTGAGACAGTGCAATGGGTGATCACAAAACCCTATTTTGAAAAGCAGACTACACTGATTTATTCAATCTAGGCATAGTAGAGATGGGCATCAATTCCCTTCTGCTTTACTCATGCCGTCCATGGGTGGTACGGTCCGGGACAGGCATATCATGATGTAATTATCATAAGGAATTTACACTCTAGTGATCTTGTGAAACACCCCATCTCAAGGGTGAGCATACATAGCCATGGAAAATGTATAAGAATCAACATGGCTTACAGTGCAGATTTGATAGCAAGATGTCTTCAAGTGGATATAGCCCAAGTGGAACCCATTCTGAGTACAGACAGAATACCTGGTCAGGCACCACTTGCCACAGAGCAGGATCCAAAGTTTAGATGATGCAGGGGCCTCTGAAAGAAAATAAAGCATGAGTGAGTACTTACCTTGTATCACAGCCATGCCAAAGTCTGTAGAATAGACACAGGTGGCAGGCGATACCCCGAGGAAACAGAAATGTGGTGTAGGTAGCGGGAGATGAACGTGTGCAGAATTGTCCACATGCCTAATCATAGAATCTCCTCCAATTACCAACGAAGACAAGAGGCAAATGAGAAGGTAAGGTGATGAATTTGATGTGAGGAAACATGAAAGAAATCACACTGCAAAGGAGAATAGGAGAAATAGGCCAACTAGATCAAACATTGAACCCACTTGGTAACTGGGGAAAGATCATGGGAAGAGGAAGGTTGCTAAGTGATAAAAAAAAAGGTGGGAACGAGGACACCAAAAGCCATGCAAGCAATATAACAACGAAGATTACAGAGAGGACAGAGGAATCTATCTGGATCAGGACAAGGGTAGAGATGAGATACAGAAGACAGGCAGATAGGTGCCATGCAGAGCTCCCTCAGATAAGGAGCCTGTATCATGGCCCAAGAGGTCCCAACAACAAATAAACCATGTTTGAAGTGCGAGAGCCGAAGATGACAGACGAGCCAATGTAGAAGTAAGAATGGAGAGGATTTCAGCAGAAAACCCCTCAGGGTTCCTGTGAAGAGCCTCTGACAGAAAGTGAAGGGAAGAAAGGTACCTTAATAGGGTCTTGAGGGTGAGATGAAGATGAAAAAATTGGCCTTGGGTAAGTTGGACAGGGTAATCTGGGTTCCCCCATACAGGAAGAACCGACCCAAACAACTGTTTGTTGAGAAAGGGAATGTCCACCCAAGGGCGGACTAATCTGAAGTCCGTGGGGGACGAGGCATACTGACGCCCTCCCCCAGTTGAGAGGCAAATCAGTCCACATGAATCCTAATGTTGGGGGATGTGAAAAGACTAAATAGGGTTGGGAGGTTGTTTCATGTAAGAGGGAAGGTCTAGGGTAATAGAAAACAGGTGTAAGAGACAACACATACCTGAGAGATAACGGACAAGCTGAATCATCAAGTAGTGAATAGGAATGCATTGCAAACTCTGGGGGGACAAACAATAAAAATCGTATTCAGCATGGCCTGACTCAAAAGGCTTCAGGAGGAAGTGGGGCAGAAGAATGTGAGAGAGAGGTTGGCTGATGCACTGCTCACTCTCCCGATGAATGAGTGACGATATATCCCCCAATGGGTCACCCGCAGCTGAAAATATGGCATCAGATGCTGGGGAAGTACCCGAAGTGGTGATTGTGACTTCAGAATTCATAAACGGAAAGAAGTGGCAAACACAAGGAAGTAATGCTTTAATAAAAATATTAACTCCACAACTGTGAAGTGTGGTAAATAAAGTTAATAAAAATATAAAAAATGCAAAATAAACCACTGCAAGGTAACTGAACAATGTAAGAAAGAACGTTTGAAATCGACAGCTGCCAAACAAGAAGTGACAGTTTGGTAGTGGTGCGTAGAGGGAGTCACATGTATCACGTGATAGTAGTGCTCTCCTATTCATGGAGAGGCGACACATGATGATTTGCATGAGAGACGTGTTGGAACTTTGGATTCCAACAGAGGGATGATGAAGGCTTGTGGCATGCGTGTTTGAAAAAGTTCGCATACAGACGGCAGCACAAAATGAGAAAAGCTAATCTTGTGATCGGAGGTAGGGTACCTTATCAAAAACATTCATGATGGAATTTAGAAACAATTAAGTAGCTAGTTAGCCAATTTTTTATGTTCTTTAATTAGGATTAACATAAAAATAATATTCAATAAAGATTCGAGATATCACAATATTATGCAGTCTCCTGTAATGCTCACTAAACAGCAAACTTAACTAAAGTTATCATAATTTTTTAAAACTTTTAGTGCTGACTGAAGGATGGAAACCATTTTCAATGAAGTCAACAAACAACTTCAAATAAATGTTTGTTTTTTAATTTCACCAGGCATTATGGCTTACGCTTTTTCCAAGGGTCTATGATCATCACAGGTCACAAAACTGATTTTAAATTACAGTAACCGAAAAGCTACAACAATATAATGTTCAATATTAATGACAGTGACAGACAGCCTTAGTAGATTTGTAATAACAAAGACAGGACAAGGAAGTGTAGAAGGGATGGGAATCAAATCTGAGACCTTTAAATCATGAGGCACCCGCCATTATGCAGCTGTACTTTGATAGTTGGAATAATATTATTTTGATGACAATCTTGATTAATAAATACTTGGAATCATCAAATACAGTAATAATAAGAAATACTAATATGATTAGTTAATTAATTTTGTGACATTAACCGATTAATTATAACTTCAATTAAATTGCCCAGCTCTACCCCAAATAGAGTTAAAACCTATAACGATTAAGATAAATTTTGTGATATAAAGCGTGTAGATAAAGATAAAACCTGAAGTTTACAGTATATGAATATTGATAACAACCCAATATCTATGTTTGAATACAGATAAAATATCTGAGCTACTGTCTATGGACAAAGAAGACCTGTATTCTATGGTTCCTGGATTAAAATAAAATTTGTAAATAAAGATAAAAACTTATCAATAACATTTTGAATGAAGATAACATCTGTGATCAACAATTTGAGGATACAGATAAAACTTTGTATCCACACACAATATATAAGCGTTTAATCTATAGTCTGTGAACAAAGGTAAAACCAGTGTGTGAATACTGATAAGGTGTGTGATTTATAGTGTTTGAGAATTGTTAAAACTTGTGAACTATAGTTTTTGGATAAAGGTTTATGTTCAGTGGATAAAAATAGAACTTTTTTTTTTACAACAGCCTGTGGATAAAGATAAAAATACTATATTAAAACTATGTCAAATAATTCAATAAAAGGGTCTTACAACTGCATATCAAGTATGTCCTTCTCTTTCACTGGATGAAATAAAAGTTTCAATAATTTTCTCAAAAACAGCTGTAACATTTAAAACAGGAATTCACTCATGAATAAGAAACTGTAATACCTACCTTGGGAATTTCAATGTCATAAATATTTTAGCATTTCACAAAATCCATAAATAAGAATATTTATTCCCATTTTAAGTAGTACAAGAATTCTAGTTAAGGATTTAGCAAAGAAACTAAGTTTAGTACAATCAATACAAACCAAATATTGTGGCATAAACAGAACTCCAAGTTCATATGACCGGATCATAAACTGACTTCCATTCTTTTCTAATACTCCCCATGCAGCCTTGGACAAGTTGGCACTGGTGAAACATATTATGTAATAACAATAATGAAGGTATACTTTAAATACATATTTAACAGCTCATTACTCAATTTAACTTTGTAATAGTTTCGAAAGAAACATTTGTTAGAAGGAACCATTCCAAATGTCAAACTAGAAATGTTTTACAATGAAATAAAAAATAGTTCAAAGTTACTGATTATTTCATTTGTTTTATCTGGTATCTGAAAATGTTGCATAAACACTATTAAAATAATTCCAAAGTGCAATTTTGTTTTACAAAAATCTGTCACCTAATACTCTAAAAAATAATTTTATACATATTTTGATAACACTGATTTGAAGTAACTGTGATCATCCTGAATTGTTAGTAAAACCTTTTTAATGCATCTATTTGATTTAGCTGATGGAAATTATAAATGCAAAATGTTAATTTTTTTAGGTTTCTTTAATTGGAAGTATTAAATACACTTTGTAAGTTGTTTTAAAACAATTTACTACTACAATATATCAACTTAACTGCTTGATTACCTAGTAAGCAGGAACCAAGCAACAGAGCTGTTGTCTGGTGAAACTCTGAGGTAAGTCTTGATATGAGGTGAAGCATGGCTACGAGACAGTCTGTCACTCTTCCACTGGCTAATAACAAAGAACTATAAATATTTGTACATTACCATTCTTAGATGAAACATCTCAAGTCACCTCCAACAAAAACTAAACTTATTAAATGGATGTTCTAAGAAATTTCTTTAAACTAAAAAGATAAAAGAAATATTCAATTCAGAGATTTCAAAATTTAATCCTATAGCTAATGAAAGAAATATCCGAGATATTTTTATGTATAAATCAAAAATAATTAGATATAAGATCCAAGATATTTTAAAATATACAATTACCTATACTTACTAAAGAAAATTTCTAAGATATGGCTGTTTTTTAGCCACATTTATGCTATATGGAAGGGAAGTTCCAGCAGGATAACCTTCCAGACTTTCTCGCACATTGTTCACAGTTGGAAAAACCTTATACAAAAAGAAGTAATAAAACACACAAATCTTTCAGAAAAAAATACATGTTTAGAATGCAAAGAAAGTAATAAAGTCCTTACAAATGAACTTCTGAAAAAAATATTTTAGCCACAAGTGAAATGCTTTCATGGACCTACTTAAGTATCCCCTGTGAACACACAAAAGATAAGAAAATAAAAATTACAATTTTCTCCAGGTCTCATAAATTACTGATGATATGGCATTAAAAATGACGACACAAGAAATGAGAGAAAGCGTAGGTATAAACTAACAAAGGTGTTTAAGTCTGAATATCATGACTGGGAAGGTCTCTTACTTTATGCAATGAAATTCATCATTAACTTGAACTTACTATTTAAAATGCATACATGTGAAATAATGAGTTTCTGAGTTTTTCTTCTTCTTACTTTGTAGCCACTTTCTAAAGAAGCTAATACATAAACTGTTTAGATTAGATTGCAGTCACATCTATTCATCTTGTGTACAATTAGTTTCAAAATATTTATTTAAAAATGGAAAATTAACAAATATAATCATGAACTACGGTAGTGGTTCATAATAGGGATCACCCACTTGTTCTTCATTATTATTATTTAATATTGTTCTACACAGCTACAGCAAAAATGGGTTTGAGGATTGCAATAAAACCTGGGCAATATTACTAAATGCATCATTGTGCATTGTATTGGTAGTTTTTAAGCTTGACTAACTTGCAAATAATAGCAGCTGTATAACCACTGACACCAATCATTTTAATGTAGTCTGGGGTTTATAGAGCCTCATAATCTACTACATGCAAACGTATATAGATGTGTGCAGGACATGGATGTAATTTAATGTTTATATGGCAAGCATGATATATGTACCATAGTGATTATTAACTTATTCTTGCAACTGTACTGATGTCGCATATTCTTTGTTATGTATTGGGTACCTGCCTTTTCGGACATGATGCTGCTGATAGTATAAGTTTTTTTTATCACTGCATGATCGATTTGTGCAATGTTACACAAACATCTGAAACATTATGCAAATGTTTAGGCTGTCTCCCACAATAGAAATATTTAAACTGTAGGTTAAAAGATAGCACCAAGCTCAGTTTCGAGTATAGGATCGGCAATAATGCCGATGGTAAATGTTGAATTATAGCCAACACTGTGTGATTGGAAATTTTATAGATACTACAGATAGAGTAGACATCCTTGAAGCTGACTATAGGGAGTAGCAAGAATCATGCAAGCAGGAGATGGCAAAAATGATGGTGATTCTAGGCAAAAGTGAGAGACAGAAATTTTGTAGTTATATATTTTATTTAGAAAATATTCAGTTTCAAATATGGAGAAAGAAATAACATAGATGAGTTCTTTTCTGAAAACAGTATTAGAAAGGAAAGGTGGAGTGTGACAACCATGATGCAGCACTCAATGGGTGACCGCATCCATTTCAAGCAGGGAACACTCTTGGCCCAATAGTGCTGGTTGTTAGGAGAGGAGTAAAGCAATTTATATTGGCTCAAGAATCTTCTGCATGGTGCTAAAGTGTCACTAATATAGGTGGAATTTAAAAAATACTTAACTGGCCAATATCTAAGAGGTTGGCAGCTTAGCATAAGTGTATGAAGTGGCTAGAGTTATAAGTGAGGCTGTTTTGTGTAGGAGAAATACATACCACAATAATCAGGTGCAAGGAAAAGCATCCCAGACCTGTGTTCGAAGGCAAACTCCATACTCAGTCGGCTGGATCAAACTACTGGGAATGGCTTGGTTCATAACTTAGTGGAATTACCCAGTAATGCCCCAGCCCTACTTCCCAAACGATGGGCACGTCCAGTCAGTCTTCTACCAGTGAGATTGCACTGCTTGATGAGGAACTCTCCATATCAATTTCCCCAGCACCTTGGAACTGAAGAAGCAAGTGTTCCCCTGTACTCCACTATAAAAAATGAGAAAGGAGTAATTTGCATGGGAGAGTACACCAGAGAGGTGCATAGACCATTGTCATCAGTCAGGCACAATAATCTGGAATTAGATCCCACGCTAATAGGCAGTGTAATGGCTTACTGTGACTAAACACAGCAGGTTTGATGGCAGGCAAACACCTTGTGTTGTTATTTTTTCTTTCCACAAGTGCAGAACAACCCGAAAGATAAAATATAGAGACACTGCCAAAGCAGTCATACAGAAAATCCCATTTTAACAGTGGGCACTGAGAAGGGATGTGGATGTTGTGTAATTATTCCCTGTGAGGCAACAATGGCTACTAAGTGGGTTTGATTATTTCTATAATGTATATATACTGAGTAAGTTGGTAGTGAAATCTGAAAAACAGTGGAGAAAAATAAAGAACTCACCATCAGAGCCACTGTGCAGACTGGATAACTGGAACTGGAGGGAGATGAAAGCCAGAGTAGATGAAAAATTTCTGTGGTGCAAGGAATGACATATAATTTGCCAGGGTTACCCATATCTCCACCTTCAAGATCTCATACACGAAAAATTGATGGCTGAAGCAAGAGAAGCTATAAGATGGAAAACATGATGGGAGGATACATTAAATATAAGAAAAGGGCCATCACCCATAGAAGAATAAACTTGCTAGATGGGGTGTATAACAAAGGGGAAGTATGAGTGATATAATAACAAATAGCATATACAGAACAAATCAGATTGACAATACATGGAACAACGGGAAAGGAGGATGAATAAAGAAAACATCCATCCAAGCAACCCAAACTGTAAGGCAGTCAGAGAAGAAGATGAACCTGTTCCTGTGGTAAATAGTGAGGGAAGAGACCAAGACAAAAGTAAGTGATA